CCGGATGTGACCGATGTTTCCACACTCATAACACCCATCATGATACCATGGTTGCTGAAGCTAAAGCTGACCCAGATGGGCCGGATAACCACTGTAGTAACTCTGGAGTGGTGGTGCACTAATAGGAGATGAATGTGCACTGAATACTGGCTGTCCAGAGTAAGGCATAATAGGACCTTGACTCCCAGAAGCACCGAAGATACATGAAGTGCTGAATGAAACGGTCTGGGAAGATGACCCCTACCAAAATTACCCCTGCCTCCAGATGAGGCACCACTGAAACCACCGAACTGACGAGGCCTCTTATCGGACCTCTGCTTTCTCTCTTGTGCAAGAACCATCTCGATCCTCCTTGCGACATTAGCAGCCTCCTAAAAAGAAATCTCGCTTCTGGTCTCCTTGCCCATCTGAAGTTTGATAGGGTGAGTGAGTCCCTCAATAAACCTCCTCTCTCTCTCTCTCTCTCCGTAGGTAGTAAAATGAGAGCATGGCGGGCCAAATCCACAAAACGGGACTCATACTGAGTAACAGTCATACTTCCCTACTGTAGACGCTCAAATTGCTTGCTGAATTCCTCTCTCAGTATGATAGGGAGGATCTTTTCCAGAAATAGCTAAGAGAACTGCTCCCATGTAAGTGCAGGCGATCCGACTGGTTGGGTCAATGTATAATCTCTCCACCATCTCTTGGCGGAACCCGTCATCTGAAATACTGCAAAATCAACCCCATTGGTCTTAACTATACCCATGTTCCGCAATACCTCATGGCAGCGTTCAAGATAATCCTGTGGGTCCTCAAAAGGTGTACCACTGAAGTGAACTGGAAAGAGCTTGGTAAACTTATCCAGTCTCAATAAGGCCTCAAAAGACATGGCGGGCCTATCACCGGTCTGTGCCGCAATAACTGGCTGAACTACCCCAACTAGCGGGGCTGCTGGGGCCTGATTCTGGGGAGCCATCTGCTCTAGAGCGGGAGTAGTGGGAGTTTGTGCTCCTCCCCCAGCCTGTGAGACGGCTGGNAAGGCCTCAAAAGACATGGCGGGCCTATCACCGGTCTGTGCCGCAATAACTGGCTGAACTACCCCAACTAGCGGGGCTGCTGGGGCCTGATTCTGGGGAGCCATCTGCTCTAGAGCGGGAGTAGTGGGAGTTTGTGCTCCTCCCCCAGCCTGTGAGATAGCTGGTGCCACGGAAAATGTACCATTCTAGGCCATGCCCTCCATAAGACTTACCAAATGAACTAGAGCATCCTGAAGTATTGGAGTGGCTATGAATCCTTCCGGGACCGGAACTGGTCCAACTGGTACATTCTGAACTGGAACCTCCTCCTGAAGGTCCACCTGAGGTTCTACAACAGGTACAGCTGCTCGAGCTCTCGACTGAGCTCTACCTCGGCCTCTGCCTCGGTCTCTAACATGACCTCTACCCTTGGCCATAGTTTCCACCGGGGGTTCTGGTCCCTGTCCATCAGTACAGGTATTACGTGTTCCAACCATCTGTAAGAGAATAAGAGTAAAATGGTTCAATCATCGATGATAGAATAAAATCGCACGACATAATAAGAAAGAAGTGATATTGTTCCTAAACTTCATAGCCTCTAAGAGATAAATACAGACGTCTCTATACCGATTCTTCAGACTCTACTAATCTTGCTCGTGACTCGTGAGACCTATGTAACCTAGTGCTCTAATACCAACTGTCACGACCCGTAATTCCCACCTTCGGACCGTGATGGCGCCTAGCATTTCACTTGCTAGGCAAGCTAACGTTAGAATAATATTAACCAATTTTTAAACAATCTTTACATTATTAATAATCAAGGAACCAAATGCGGAAGCAAAGTGTGAAATATAGTGAAATAATCCATAAAACCAACGGTGTCTAAATACCATCCCAGAATTGGTGTCACAAGTGCATGAGCTTCTAGAATAATACAAATAAAGGTCTGAATAAAATAAAGTTATCTGGAAATAAACACACAGCTAAAGTAAAATAGACTAGGACTTCAGAACAGCGGACGGCATGCAGTTATACCTCAAGTCTCCTCTAAATAGCTGAAATCCGAGCAAGTCTATGGCACGCCGCTAGGACCAACTCCGAAATCTGCACAAGAAGTGCAGAGTGTAATATCAGTACAACCGACCCCATGTATTGGTAAGTGCTGAGCCTAACATCGATGAAGTAGTGATAAGGCTAAGGCAGGTCACTTACATTACCTGTACGCAATATTAGTAACAACAACAATAATAGAAATAAATCAGGTAACTTATTTATAATAATTGAAGCCAACTCAGCAGTCATAACTAATTATTATTTCAACTAATTCTATTGCAACGTGGAACCCACCCTCACAATATATTCACATTCAATTCTGTTGCAGCGTGCAACCCGCTCTCCTAATATTTTCCTTTTAATCAAGTCTGTCATATATTTATTTCAATCAAGTATATATATAGACTTTTAAATAAGTCTGTTGCGGTGTGCAATCCGATTCCCCAATATTGACTTTTAATAAGTCTGTTGCGGCGTGCAACCCGATCCTCCAATATGAATTTTTTAATAAGTCTGTTGCGGCGTGCAAACCGATCCTCCAATATATCCATTTCAATCAATTCTTATAAAAGAAATTTTTCCAATAAATGCAATAATTAATATAAAATTATAAGACAACAATCATTCAATAATTATGATTTAATTATGAAACAGACAATGACAAATAGTAAATTATTATGAAAATCAGGGAAACAATATGCAGTTTAATATTTAATATGCTAAATGTCAAATAACAATTAAAATACATAATTCAAATAGCGTGTAACAATTAATGCAGGAATTCAAGAATTAATATATGACAAAGAATATGAGAGAAATAATTATTATAATAATTAATTTATGATTTAAAATAATTTATGATTTTTCAAGTAAGCAGACAAACAATTAATTTCACGACGTATAGACCCTCGTCACCTCGCCTATACGTCGTTCACATGCTTTTCACATAACAAATAATTTAAGGGTTCTATTTTCTTAAGTCAAGGTTAACCACGACACTTACCAAGCTTTGCAAATTCCAATCAATTACTCAACCATAGCTTTTCCTTTTAAATTTGACTCCGAAAGCTTCAAATCTATTCACAAATAATTCGATATATTCAATACTAATCATAGGAATTAATTCCATATGAATTTACAAATTTTTCGGATAAAAATCCGAAATTCATTTAAATATTCGACAGTGGGACATACGTCTCAAATCAGAAAAAACTTTTGAAATCCGAACACCCATTCCGAGACAAGTCCAACCATACAAAAATTATCCAATTACGATGTCAAATGGACCTTCAAATCTTAAATTTTCGTTTTTGGAAGATTTTATAAAAATTTAATTTTTCTTTCATAAATTCACGGATTCATGATATAAATGAGTATGAAATCATTAAACATAATTAATATAGGATAAGGAACACTTACCCCAATGTTTTCCCGTGAAAATCGCTTTACCCGAGCTAAAAAATGAAAAAGGGTTGAAAATGGGACGAATCCCATTTTTCAGAACTTAAGTTCTGTTTCTGGGACTTTTACCCTTCGCGAACGCGGTCAGTGCCTCGCGTTCGCGAAGCACAAATTTGTGCTGTCCCATTTTACACTTCGCGAACGCGAAGCTTGTCTAGCTTGGCCTTCGCGAACCCGAAGGCAATAATCCTGGCCAGCCTCTTTCCCTTCGTGAACGCGAGGCTTCGGTCGCGAACGCGCAGTTTTGAACCTCAGGCCTTCGGGAACGTGGTCACTCTGTCGCGAACGCGAAGCACAAAATGTGCCAGCCCCAATCTGCTCTTCGCGTTCGTGAGAGTACCTTCGCGAACACGAAGAAGAACACACCAGAAGCCTGAAATCTGTAGAAAACCGAATTTTCTAAGTCCGAAATCATCCCGTAACCCATCCGAAACTCACCCGATCCCTCGGGGCTCCAAACCAAACATGCACCCAAGTCCTAAAATATCATACGAACTTGCTCGCGCGATCAAATCGCCAAACTAACTCCTAGAACTACGAATCAGATACCAAATCAAAGGAAATTTTCAAGAAAACTTTAAAACCTTTATGTTTACTACCGGAAGTCCGAACCACATCAAATCAACTCTGTTTCTTATCAAATTCGGCAAACAAGTTATACAAGTTATAAACAAGTAGACCTATGCCGGGCTCCGAAACCAAAATACGGACCCGAGGTCAATAAATCCAACATCAGTAATTTCTTAGATATTATTAAGCTTTCAAGCTTTTAATTTTTTCATCAAAATTTCATATCTCGAGATAGGGACCTCGGACTTCGATTCCGGGCATACGCCCAAGTCCCAAATCACGATACAGACCTATCGAAATTGTTAAAACATTGATCCGAGTCCGTTTGCTCAAAATGTTGACTAAAGTCAACTCAGTTGAGTTTTTAGAGCTCTATTTCACATTTTAATCCATTTTTCATATAAAATCTTTTCGAAAAATTTACCGACTGTGCACGCAAGTCGAGAAATATTAAATGGTGCTTTTTCGAGGTCTTAAAATATAAAATTACTTATTAAATTTAAAGATGACATTTTGGGTCATCACAGCTTTCTTCTACAGGAAAACTCTCAATGGATGATCATGAAGACGAATGGGGAATTCAGCACTCTGCTTTAAAGGGTACTGTTTTTTCAACCGTCTCTGTTTATTTGGCAATTTGTATTATCCGACTAAGTTAAGGGGCTAAATCGAACTAGATTAATTTATTCTTTAAAATTTAAATTTAGATACTTGGAAACGATGGGAAGAATCATTTTAGTTGTTTCAAAAATTACATTTTTAAATTTCACTTAGTCTTCTTGAGCAGAGAGTTATATTGGAAATAGTCTCTTTACTCCTCCGTGGCGGGTTAAGGTCTACATATATACTATCCTCCTCGTACCCCACTTATGAGATTTTACTGGGTTGTATTATCACTTGAAATTGTTTTTCACTTTTTTCTGGAATTTCACAATTGTTATGTCCAAACGCCCACTAAGTTTGCTTTATTTTGTGAAATGACAGATGGTCCAATAAAGTATTTGAAGCACGAGCTTCATGTGATTGACGATAAGAACTTGGTAACCAAATATTCACTAATCGAAGGAGATGTTCTAGGAGACAAATTGGAATCCATTACCTATGATGTCAAATTCGAAACTTCTGCAAATGGAGGTTGTATTTGCAAGACATCGACTGAGTACCACACAAAGGGTGATTATGTATTTAAGGAAGAAGAACACAATGAAGGCAAAGATAAAGCCATGGAACTTTTCAAGGCTGTTGAAGACTACCTTCTTGCCAATCCTACCGTCTATGCTTAAATGGTGTCCAAGTCGGTTTGCGTCCAGCCCGGCTAATTCCACGAAATACCTGGTTATACTATCATAATATTTTTGAGTGTCTGTGTTCTTTCCAAACATGTAATGGAAAGAACTTTAAATAAAGAATATCGCAAGCTTTGTACTGTACTTTTCAAATGCTTGTACTGAAATTAAAATGTCTTGTTCAATATATATGACGCTCAAGGAGTATGTTTTGCGATATTCCATTATTTAAAGTTCCTGCATAAAAAGTAATGCTCAAGTTATAATCTGTCACGATCCAAAATCCGACATGTCGTAATGACACCTAACCCAACCCGCTAGGTAAGCCAATTAGAAACTAACCAATTCTAATAATATTTAATAAGACAATTAAGTAAAAGAAATTATTTGAATCCTATATATTTTCCAAGGACTAGTAGTATAAATCATGAGTTTCTAAGATTGAAAATTACAAAGCTGGTATGAAATAAATACATCATATGTTCGAAATGTACATAAACAATTTTTTTTTTTTATAAATCTAAGGCTACCATGAACAAGAAGCAGCAATGACTGGAATACAGGTACATCTTCAGATCCAGCTTCCGCCATGTATAGTAGCATCAACATACAAAATCTACACGCAAAGTGCAGAAGTGTAGTATGAGTACAACTGACCGCATGTACTCAATAAGTAACAAACCTAATCTTAGGTTGAAAGTAGTGACGAGCTTGAACAACAGTCAGGGTCCACACCAATATCCAGTAACATCTCATAGCAATAAAATTAAGGCAACACAAAGAATAACTCAATAATAAAATGCGTTCACAATTTCCAAAAAAAAAAAATTAATATTTTCTTTTCAAGTATAATAGTAAAACTCAATTCTTTTCACTGAAAATCACGAAAAGATGAGTAAGTCTGAAACTGTGATTTATTCCAAAAACTTTCTTCCACAATAGAAAATTTTATTTTCAAATGGCATGAGGAAAGTACATCTCTATGCCTATATGTCAATGTGCATGCCAATGCAATGCAACATAGTGATAAAACCATATGCATACTCTCAGAGTATCAATTCACTCGGTCCTCACAGTCACTCGATCCTTTCAGTCACTCAGTCCTCTCAATCACTCAATCCTCACATTCACTCATGCCTCACAGTCACTCAATCCTCCCAAATCACTTAGCACTCGCGCTCGACACTCGCACTCGGCACTTGCACTCAGTAGGTACCTGCACTCACTGGGGGTGTGTACAAACTCCGGAGGGGCTCCTTCAGCCCAAGCGCTATAACAAGTCAATCATGGCATAAATCAATGAAACATGCTGCGGCGCGTAGCCCGATCCCATAAATATCCTCACCATCAGGTCCTCAGCCTTAGTCAGTCATCAATCTCTCCAGTCTCTCGAGCTCACAATGTCATAAAAAATCAGCCCAAAATGATGATATGATGAATCAATAAATAGCAACAGAGACTGAGAGATAATATGAAATGAATGAACATGACTGAGTTTTAAATTTTAATTTAAACAAATTCAACAATAATATGATCTCTGTGGGTCTCAATAATACTGACATATAGTCTCAACATGATTTTAACATGATTCTCAGCTCAATAGCTCTAGTACGTAGAGATTTTCATGATTTCAGATAAGTTCAGGTAACTACATAGTACCACGGGAATAATGGAGTCACAGTTCATACGGTGCACACCCACATAACCGTCACCTAGCATGTGCGTCACCTCAACTCCAAACACATAACACATATAATTCAGGGTTCATACCCTCAGCTCCAAGATTAGAAGAGTTACTTACATCAACAAGACGAACCCAACGTCGAGCAAGCTAATTAATACTCAGGAAATTCCATTCCACGTGTATCCACCTCTGAATGCCTTCTTGTCTCCTCATTCAATGCCAACGATCCGAAACTGAAATTTGTCCCTTAATGATACTACAACGATCTACTATAATAAGCAACTGCAATCTACAATATCAACATCCAGTGGGATCAACATTAGTAACCAATTTCATAGTTTAGGCCATTTAGACAATTTACCAAACACCTAGTGGGCATACATTTATACATTTCTTAACCATAGAATTAGTTCTTCCAACTACCATCATTTACCAACAATTCATCCCACCATCATTCTTTAATAACTTATAATCGTAACATCACATGTGTGACCAACCATTCTCACCCAACCAACAAAAATTTCATCAAATAATCATCTTTCAATCTCTACAAGGGTTATGTATTTAAATCGAGAACTTATGGCTTATAATCACCATACCATATGTTTTAATACATATTTCATACATAAATAATCGCCATAGATTAGTTAGAGATGGTAGACATACCTCTTATAGTGAAACTCTTGAGAATCCCAACTTGTAGTGTACTTGACCAATTTGGGAATTTAAATGGAAATCTATGGATCTTCAAGATTAATCCTTATTAATACAAGTGTTTAGGAGTAGTAATCAACTCAAAATTACTCCAAAAACATTACCTTGGTTCATGGGAGGGAGATGTTGGACAGATTCCCCTTGATATGCAAGCCCTAGATCAAAGAAATGACTTAGCTCTCACTCTACCCGGCCTTGGGGGTATTTAATGGGTTTCTACGTATGTGGCCGCGCACCTGGGCAAGTGGCCGCGCATCTGACCGTGCACCTGAGGCAGAGACTCTCAAATATGCGCGGCCGCGCATCTGGGCACGCATATGACACAGGTCCAGTAAAATGGCCATAACTTTCTGTATACATATCCAAATGACGAACGGTTTGATTCATTGGAAATTAGACTCAAAGGGATATAGTTTGATAAATTATACACCATATACCGCTTCATATCTTAAGAGTTATGCTCGTTTAAATTTAGATCTTGTGCGAACTCACTTGAAACTTTATCCCTTTATATAATTTTCAACTTGACTTAGCCATATGGCTCCTCTTAGACCATAAACTATTCTTAATGCACCTCATACATATATTATCATGATAAATTGATATAATTCAAATTATCAGTATTGTTCATACCCGAATTAATATAATTAGTACCTGTCAATCTTGTTAATGGTCTTAAAACACTTCGAAATTTTCCGGAATGTTACATAATCTCTTCACTGTAATCTCAAAGTAACTTATTGGTCGATCAAACGAGTAGCTTTTGTCAGTGTCAGCAAAGTAGTTAGCCTAATTTTTGTTTAATTCTTCTTTCTTAACAGGACAAGTTAACTTTTGAGGATAGTGAACACCTCAAAACAGAGGTGGCATACTCTTTTTTTTAAAAAAAAGGTTATGATGTAGTGGTAAGTACCTCTTCATCCCTAATCAGAGGTCTTGGGTTCGAGACCTAGATATAGAGTCATGTTTGTTAGAGAGCGTTTTACCCTCCAATTCTGATGCGAATTCGGATTTAATCATGCCCCAATACGAATATTGGACACCAAATAAAGAAAAAACTCTCTATACCCTGTACCTTCTTCAAATTGCATTGAGAGAGAACGCCAAAATAATAATAAAAAATATTAATCAATCTTCTAATCTATCCTATTGCCATGGTTAAAACTTATATTCGCTTGTCCCAATGGTAATAAGTAGTTTTCTCAATACTTAGGTTGCATTTTTGATAATTTCAAAATTACGGTTCACTTAAAAAACGATAATCATGATTTTCAAGAATGCTTTTACTTACATAAGACAGACATTATAGGAAGTAAATATGAACGCAAAGACGAATCAAGATTTAGACTTGATGTAGTTAATCTTAAGTTTTTAATACTAAACATATTGTATTTTAATAATTATGGTTAAAAATTTAATCTTTGTTAAAATTTTAGTAGTTTTCACCCATATATTTATATTTCATATAAAAAATATTGTGGTTGGCCGTACTCATAACCCATACAGTACATCCGCAACTACATGAACATTTTTATTTTCTAAAGCTAGAGAATTGTTTAAGTCATGGGAGTGAGCTTTCAAATATGAAACCACCCTACTCGTAGAACAACCAAGGGTCCCTCTTCACTCTAATCTAGGCAACTCTCGATTTGCTAAAGCTACGGTTTTGACATGACAATCTAAGATAACGTGGGGGAGAACCAATCCACGCCTAGAATCACCTCAAAATCCACCATATCGAACAATAATAGATCAACTATGGTATCAAAATCACTAATAATAATAACATTGACTGGTATACTCGATCAACAACTATAGAATCCCCAATCCGTGTAGACACAACAACATGAAGATAAAGAGAATCATGAGGCAAACTCAAGTGTGATGCAAAATATGAAGATACATATGAATAAGTAGAACCCGAATCAAACAACATCGAAGCATCTCTATGATAGACAGAGATAATACCTGTAATGACTACATTAAACGACTCTACCTCAGGCCTACCCGAGAATGCATAACAACGGGGCTGGGCCCCACCAGCCTGCCATCCTCCTCTAGGACGACCTCTACATGGGTGACCTCCACGTCTAGCTGGACGACCCCCTATCCCCAGTTGGATGGGCGGGTGATGTAGCAACTGGTGCCAGAAACATAACACGAGTACCCTGTTGTGGCATACCACTCTGCATCCTAGGACAAAACCTCGCGACATGCCTCAAATCCCACACACATAGCAACCCCTCATAGATTGAATCTTGTGTTCTTTAAGCTTTCAGCCAACAATATGCATCCTTTAATGCATCTTGTCTTTGTTTAAAATATAAGTGATGGTTATAACATGTGTAACAATTTATGATTGTGAGTTATAAACAAACTAACCGAGTTATGTATTGAAGGAAGAAGAACACAATGAAGGCAAAAATCAAGCCATGCAACTTTTCAAGACTGTTGAAGACTACCTTCTCGCTAACCCTACTGTCTACAGCTAAATGATTATATGGAATTTATCAAACTCTTAAAAGACTTTTAAGGGCTTGAGTTTTTCTGTTACAGTGTGTGTTTTCTTTCTAAGTTTGTCAATTTTCATGGCCGGGAGGAGCTTTTAATAATGTACATCTTCATAATTGGA